TTTGTTTTAAAGAATTCAGTTCTGGATCCGTATCCGAGACATGTCTGGATTGATCAAGTTCAAACTTCACACACACAAGGTACATCATGTCACAAATATGTATGTGCATTTGTTTCATGATCTCATTAACGATAGCCAAATGGGGGCCGCTTTAAGGCCGAAAATGCATTGAAATCGCACATTTTCACCATTCCGGACCCGTATCTCAGTTATGCATGGATGGATTTTGTTCAAATTTGGTACATACATTAAACATAATAGGACCTTGATGCACGTCTTTTTTTTTCGGATCAAGTTCGAAATGGCCGACTGGCGGCCATTTTGTTAAAGAATTCAGTTCTGGATCCGTATCCAAGACATGTCTGGATTGATCAAGTTCAAACTTCACACACACATGGTACATCATGTCACAAATAGATATGTGCATTTGTTTCATGATCTGCTTAACAATAGCGGAATGATGGCTATTTTAAGGCCGAAAATGCATCAAAATCACGTATTTTCACAATTCCAGAACCGGATCTCAGTCATGCATGGATGGATTTTGTTCAGATTTAGCACAATGTGTTGTACATATGCAGGTGCATTTCGGTCATGATCTGCTTTGAATGTATATGTCACTCAAATATGAACGGAACGGGGACGTGTCATTGACAATGACTTGTGGTGATTTGATTTAAATTTGAATTCACAATGACTGTGAATTAATGCAGTTTATTTCATTTCTATTCTCAGAGCGCTGTTAAGTTTTGAGGAGCATCAATTTAGCAGTGTAGCTGATCACCTAGAATTGATACCTGGTGGATCTTTGGATAATTTGGATGATTCCAGTCTGAGTGATGTTTCCGAGAACTTGTCATGGGATCCAAGAGAACTGCAACGACATGGTGACTTGCAGATCATGAGAACAATCACCCATTTTCAAAAACTCTTTGAAAGTGATGATGACAATAATTTAGAAATGTAAGTTGAATACTTGCCATGCTATGCCATTTTTATCTTCACAGCTTTATTTTGGCAACTTGAGATTTGAATAAGTGATTTTCCATTCATTGTGAGATGTGTGAAAAGCGTGGCCGCAAAAATCGAAAAATTAAATTTTGCATTTGAATTTTTCATAACTCACTGTTGAAATGCCAATTATAGAGAGGAGAATATTATTTTGGGATACCCTTACTTCAACATTTTTCATTCAAATTTAGTACATAGATCATACATGTCCCGACCGTTCGTGAGTTCCTGAGTCTGTCTGTCCGTCCGTCCGTGTGTCCGTCTGTCTGTGCGTCAGTCTGTCCAGAGTCGTATTTCAGAATCCTGTGAACCGATTCCACTCATTCTTTGCATGTGTCTAGTACCTTATGTGGGATATATGCACATGCAGTGGTTTAGCGATTTGATTCAAAATGGCCGACTGGCAGCCATCTTGTTTTTTGAAAATGTTGTATTTTGGACATGCTCTGTCAGTTGTCATTCAAACTTGGTACATAGATTATACACGTTAGGATACATGTCCATGACGATTTATTTCGCAATTGGATCAAAGATGGTCGACTGTCAGGCATTTTGTTTGATTTTTTGTATGCGGTATCTTGGACGTGCTCTGTCAGTTTTCATTCAAATTTGGCACATACATGTACTTTATACATGTTAGGATGCATGTCCATGACAATTTGTTTCAAAATCTGGTTAAGGATGGCCGTTTGACAGCTATCTGACTTTTTGGCCTTACTGCTATATTTCCACAATTTATGTATCATTTTCATTTGTATTTGGCACATACATCATACATATCAGTGTGTTTCATAATCAGATCAAAGATGGCCGAAAAACGTCTGTTTTTATTTTTGGCTATATTACTACTACACGGAACACATGTTTTGATGTAAATAAACAATCTGTTGTATACGCCACTTGGAACTCAAGTTTCAAGGACACGCTCGCGACAACCCTCCGCTTTAATATGACAAGCACAAAGAGAACTTTCACAAATTTAACCGGGACTGTGTCATTTTCAATGACTTGTTTTCATGGAAACCCTACTCTGCCAGCCACATTAAATTGAAAGTTGGTCAGAATACATACAACAGAGGTCCATAATTCAAAACCTATATTTTTCATAACAGGCAAACAACTAGACATCATTTTCCTGTATCAAAGTGAGGAATATATAAATAATTAGTAAGGGTTAGGTAATTCTTAAACAGTTGTCACCTTTATGCCTGTTACAATCTTAAGTTAACTATTCTTAGATTTCAAGTCACAACTATCCTGTTATTTTTTAGGTTTTCATTCAGCAGTGTTTTGGAGAAGACCAGTAAAATATCTGACACCTGTCTGCGTGTTTGCAGCATGGAATGGCCGTGTAATTTATCACCCAGTCATGTTATAATATCACAGACTATCAATGCCTTTGTCAACAATGAGAATGGAAAGGTAAATGTCCAGTATCTTACCTTTGCAAAGAACAGTCTGGTTGTGCTACACTGGAAGGGTGCTGTACACAACTTGTACTTACATGTATACGCCAGTCAATTAATACCTGACCCCACCAGAATCAAAAGAATCTAGCTTATTGCAATTTATATTGCTGGTCAAATAACGTCTACATTCATACTTCTGGGAAAGTCCAGCTGGTAACATCTTGGTAACAAGAAGCAAAGTCTCAACCTGAATCTTTTCAGCAGCTACCGACCAATGGCAATCTGTTTATCGGGCAAATCACAGTTCTGAAACTGCACTTTTACGTGTTCGTAATAACATTATGCTGGCTTTAAACAATAACAAAGATGTAATTTTTTTCATGCTGTATTTATAAGCCGCATTTGGCACGCTAGATCACACAATTTTACTTAACAGGCTCAAGTCACGGTTTGGGATGCACGGTAAAGTTTATGATTGGTTAGAATCGTATCTCTTTGATCGTTGCCAGCGTGTAGAAATGGAATCCATATTTTCTATATTAATTAGACTTAGCTTAGGGGTCCCACAGGGTTCAGTATTGAGACCTGAAATTCTTTTTAGTTTGTATACAGCGCCCTTTGAAGATATTATATGAAAACATATATATATATATGTATATACATATATGCTCTACGCTGATGACACCCAAATTTATGTAATGTGTGACAAATATAGTAATTCGTTATCTTCATTAGAATCTTGTGTAGATGGTTTTCGTAGAACGACGATGTTCAATCACTTAATATTAAATGACAATGAAACAGAATTTATCAATTTCACGTCCTGTTATCAGAAAGACACTCAGAAGCTAAGATCCCTAAGAGTTGGCACATATAAAATCGCTCTAGTAGATTCAGTAAAAAAAACAATAATTTCAACTCTATATGTGAAGCTACATTTTTTGCGTTGTACAGAATTGGAAATGTCCGGACTCTTTTATCGAGTGAATATACGGAAAAACTTGTATGCACATTTGTAACATTCGACTCGACTACTAAAACTCACTCCTATATGGCATACCACAACATCGGTGCAGAATGCTACAGCTCGTCTCATCAATCGCTCTAGAAAATCTGACTACATCACACCACTACTCAAAACTCTTCGCTGGCTTTGTGTTGAGTATTGTATTAAGTACAAACTATGTCTTATCACTTTTAAGATTATCCAAGACAAATGTCCAGACTATCTTACAGCGCGCACAAGATATTTACATACACCTAACTGGTAGGTAACTACCGAGGGACTTTGCAACATCGTCAGACACTTCCCTAGACACTCCAATGACCGTTGTAGACGCAATAAAGTTACATACCCACTCAAGTGACAGTTAATCAAAATACCGGACGCGGAATACCTTTGATGTTTGGCCATGAGAAACGAGGAGTAGTTGGACTATTCCATTGCTTTGTAGGAACAAAAATCATTGCTGTGTAACACTTGAGAGAAATATAATAAGAACTAAAACTGGAAATGAATATCAACAAGAAATGATAAATATAAATTCTTTTGATTTGTAGTTTGTTGAGATGTTGTCAATGGATTTATATTAATAATAATAGCGTTGCAAGTGTCCCGTTTCTCGCATTATGGCTGGTCCCATTGCCAGTTTGCCAGAACACTCATCGTCCAGTCAATCTTTCTCTGCAATTTTCTACTTCGTTTCACCTCCACATGCACTGCCACCATAACCAGTTTCAAATATCTATCAGATCGCAGACAAAATTCGATAAACTTAACAATTTCGACAACCGCCGCTACTTCTTTCAAAGCGTATCCAACCAATGCCTTGAACCGTTGCCGTCACTAGTCCAACTTCCTTCGTCGTCGATCATTCGCAAGAGGCAAATAAGCTCCATCTCAGTGTCTTTGTCTAAACGCTTTAACATAATAGCAATAATTGTTCAAAATCAGAAACTGTATTCAAAACAAGGAAAATTTAGGTAATTTTATTATATGTTAGGGGCGTTTTTTTGTATCAATTAGGTTTATTATTTTCGTGAAACGTTCAAAATAAAATGTATTAAATGAACGAGCATATGTATGCATGAAATAATAAAGTGTCCGATATCAACAATGATTAAAACATGATTGTTTGTTGAATGTTTGACCATCTGAAGCCCTGGTCCGTTGTTTTGATTAATTGTCACGTAGGCGTGTATGTAACTTTATTGCGTCTACAACGTTCGTTGGAGCATTTAGAAAAGTGTCTGGGGATGTTGCAAAGTCACTCAGTAATTACCTACCGAGTGCAGGAGTTAGGTGTAAATATCTTGCGCTCGCTGTAAATCCATTGTGACATCATATAAACCGCCACACACTCTCAGGTCATCGGTGAACAGTCAGCTACAGCGTCAATATAACCATTACAACTAAGAAAACATGGTCAGTGGGCATTTTCGATTATTGCCTCAATCTTGTGGAACGATCTTCCTCTGTTGATAGGTTCATGCTCATCAACAGCTACTTTTAAGAGTCACTTGAAAACGTTCCTTTATAACCAATGTTATTAATCCAATCTTATTGTCATTTTAACTACATTTGTTGTTGTCTGTTGTTTAGCCACTTGTGAATTTTTTTAATTATAAAATTTTTTTTTAATCCCATTTTTATTGCAACTGTGTACAGCGCTCTCAGACGCAGTGTAGTGCGCTATATAAATAATAATAATAACAAGCCATGCATGGCACAGTCCTTGTTACTTATCAAACACTGAAATGATTGACATTCAGTCAACTTGTATCTAATCGTCAAACGAGTACTTGTCCATATTGAGAGATATTGCTGTGGAACAGCATTAATTAAAATAAAATAGCCACTCATTGCAAGTCAGCCATTTTGAATGAGATTTGAGGAATAAAATGTCTAATGTATGTACCAAGTTTGAACAAAATCCATCCTTAAACAACCAAGATCCAGTTTCCACAATGCCAGAAATGCTTTATTTTTGACGATTTTTTAGCAACTTGGCCATTTTGAATCAGATAGTCAAACTAATATATCTGTATATCCATGACAGGATCTGTAATGCATATATAAAATTTGAACATAATCAGTCAAAGCATGACAGAGATATGTCACTAAAACTGCATTTATTTAAACAAAATGGCCCCAGTCAGCCATTTTAAATCTGATCTGAAAAACAGAATGCCATGCATCAAGGTCCCATAATGTTCAACGTATGCACCAAGTTTGAACAAAACCCATCCATAAATGCTTGATTTAGATGATTTTTCAGCACAAAAATGGTCGCAATTTTTTCATTTTGAATCGGATCGTGAAACAAATTGATGTGCATAAGTATATGCAGACGCATGGAAGCACAGAGGTCAAACCATCAGTCTTTGTTTTCAGGCTGTGTCCAAGCAGAGACTAATAATAAGCACCTAGTTTTGTTTGGTACCAGGGTTCCATTCCATTCCATTCCACTCTGGCTTACCCCCATAGTATCCATGTAATGCTGAGTATCCTTTATTTTGTAGGAATCCTTCTTGCCAGCAGTATCTAAGAATTTACAACTGGATCCCGATCATCATGATGTTGGCATTTATAACAGATTGCTGAGACTGTCCAAGTATCTGCACTATTTCCATAAACGTCTAACTGATTCACCTAGTAAGTATTCACATCATTTCTTGACCAACACTAAGTTTAGAGACTTCTCGTTAAAGTCGATAAATCTACCTTATATAAATCTAAATACTATCTTATATTCACTTGAATTTGGATCTGAATATGAGGAAATAACAAAAAATACTGGCTGCATGCATCTTTTACTCGTACACCTGAGTAGCATTACATCATTTGTACAGTTCTGGTTCAGCTGCATAGTTTTGATTGTCTGCAGCAACACCTGTAGAAACAACTTGTTTCTTTAAATTGTACTTAGAGTGATATTTAATGTAATGTGTTCAGAAGTTTAACAGTAGATTTTTTTTTTCAGTTCAAACTGCTCTAGATGCTGAGATGTTTGCATTGCAAATGGCAAGTTGTAGACTGGCACGCAAACAGGGAAACATTCAGTTAGCCCAAGATTTACTCATGGACAAGTTTTCACAACTGAATGGTAATGAAGAAACAGATATTGAGTTTGGTGTGGAAGGTGAGGATGCAGGAAATAGCACAAACCCCATGCTTACTGCTCTCAGTACTGTCTTCAAAAAGGGTATCATTGACGTTCAGGTGCAAAAGCTTGAAAGAGAGACTGCCAAACTTCTCAACAGCATGGGTAGTATCAGTGAGTCGCAGGAAGTCCTCAGTACATGTGTTGTGAGGCACAGCAGTCTCCTATATTCTGGAGTCGGTGAATTATGTCTTGGTAAAGGAGAACTGAATGCCAAATCACTGCTGTCATTGTTTAAATGGATTCAGGGTGACTGGAAGTCTAGCAGTGTACATCTGAAGCTTCCAAAAGGCTCTGATTTAGTTGAGAAGTCCAAGTTGACTGAAAACCTTGTAAGTTTGATGGACATGGAACACCATGGTTGCCAGCTTGGTTTGGGAGTTAGTGTGGAAACAAGTTCTGGATTAGAAAGTAAGTCTTCCATAGTTTTTTAAAATTTTTACATTAGAACTTAATTAGGACTCTCTCTTTTGTGATACTGTGGGATGTATTCTGAGAATCTGAATCATTTCAAATCTTATTATTTAGCAGTCTAATGAATGTAACTAATCACAATGCATAAATACATGTTGAGCTGCACAGAAGATATTACCGTATATTTCTTTTTAGACAGTTTTACATTGTGTCACTATAAGTGAATTAGTATCTTGCCAATATTTTTTTTTTATTCCTGTTTTATACAAGTATTTTCACACTATTACTATTTTATTTTATTATTCCTTATATATTTTATTATTATTATGTCTTGTGACATGCTTATGATATTCACCACCTGTAGGTGTTGGCAGTAGCCCGGCTATAGGAGAGGTGGATGCTGTCTGTGGTAGACTCTTGCATCTGAGCACAATGCAGGCACCAGATCTTGCCAAGGCATGGTCAGCATTAGCCAACTGGTGTTACAAATGGGGTAGAAAAGCTGTGGATATTGCTAGGTGAGCTCTGATTACATTCAAGCACATTAAGAACGAACAATTTAAATAAGTTCATTTAATTTGTATATTATAGAACAGACAAATCTTTCTTTCTCTTGTAGATTGCCTTTATTTTTTATGCATGTATGCTTCGGAAATCATAATAGCTGCAATGGGCTCATCTTATGTTTGTACTGTTGGGTACATTGAATAAATTATCCCTTTCGTTGTGAACCATCAACCCTTACACAGTGTAGAAAGCCCACAGTGCCATCAAAATTAACCTTGAGCTTAATTTCTGCATAATTACAATGTAGAAGAAAGAGGAATTTGGTTTCATGTTTTTCAATTTAAGAAATTTATATGTTGTGGAAACAAATAGTGTGATGACCTGTGTTTTATCCATCCCATGGGACCCATTCAAAGGCAAATGCAGTGATACTTATGACTGCAGTATTTAAACCTGTCACAATTTAATCAACAGGTGATGACTTTGGTAAACACATGTTATTGTTTTTTCAGCTCTGATGGTGGAGTTAAGCTATCTGAAGAGGAAAAGTCAAATGTGTTGGCTGTTCTTCCAGTCGGGCTAACAAATGACGAAACTGACAGCATCTTGTCTGTACTAAGTCAAGCTCACTGCAGTGCTAGTGGTATACAAGATGAAGATATCACAGAACAAGTACAGGTATGTACTACCGGTATTTCAAAATACAACCAATTAATACGTGTATTAACTAGCAACTATAGCTGCAGTCCTGTTTCAGTACACGTTTTGCTGCTGTGGAAAACTGATTAGTCGCATCAAAATCCAACAAAATTTAAACATGTATGTGGATATGTGATTTGTATAGTTAACATGCAACAGAAAACCCATTCACATCATTCAAACCACAACTGAGCATGCGCAACATTCATCACATCAGGTCATTTTATGTTTTCAAACATATTGTAGTGGTTGTCCCAATTAGTAACCACTTCAGGGTTCTCCACGAGGGGTTTTTACAGGGCGCCGCGCCCTGTTATCTGAAATTGGCGCCCTGTTTAAATTGTCAGCGCCCTGTTATATTTCCTGTGTGCCCTGCATGGTTCCATACAAAGAATTGTTTACAAAACAGGCCAACACTCATTGTCTTCCGAAGATGATTCATCGTGCTCAGGGTAACTGGTTCATTGTTTTAAGGTGCAACTGTGAAAATTCCGGTTTGTTATCGTAGCAGGTCACCGTGAGGTGATAACACCACCAAACAAAAAGTTACAAGTTTTTTCAACACGATTAAAAATGAACATGTGGCCCAGAAAAG